GAGTGTAACTTAAGTATTATTTTTCAACACGCCCCTTTACGTACATGATATATTTTAGGCCCAGCATGTGAAAATCTTTTAATAATTAGGGTAGTGATGATAACTCAAGAGTCAGGACCTCATGCTCTAATACCGTGTTAAACCACAATCTATTCTAAAAATTGAAGCTAGTAGAGAGTATAAAATAAATATTTATATTCAACACCTATGAAGCACAGACACGAACAAGGACACGTACACATACACACAATATTTTTAAAATATGTAGGATATGGATATGTTGAGATATGCTAAAGATAAATGTGTGTTATAGGGATAATGATATACTATTGATAAAAAAATTTGTAATTTATAATAAGTAAATGTTATGTTTAATCATCTAGTGTGAATTTTTTGAATAAAACATCATAATAGTGAAATAGTCATAAATGTTTTTGTAGACAACGTGTGCCTAACATATATAGGTTAAATGATTGTTCTTATTTTCTCAATTCTTTTTATTTAAAACTTTTATGCATCTTTTATTTTTATTATTATATTTTAAGTACAACTTTAATATGTCTAGTCTTGGTAATTATATATTTTCTCATAATGTAAAATATTTTATTTGTCAAATTTTTAAGTGTTATTAGTCACATGTCAACACATGTTTATTATTTAATAATAGACACAGTCTGTAGAAATGTCGGACAAATTACTACAAAAGAGTCGGATGCGTGCCTGAAATTAAGATTTTATCATTTAATTATAGACATAGATAAAAGAATATCGGACATGTGTCTGAGAGTGTCCACGGATACGTCGCCTTCTAGAGAGTGTTCGTGCTTCATAATTCAACACTATATTCACAACATACTCACCTCTAACATTTGTTTTTCACCTCAATCTTTATTTTCCTCAATTACGCCATCTCCTATTATTCACATATATTCTCGCAAAAACAAGACTAACTCTTCCGTAGGTACAACGCCTTTACCTCTTTCAATTGTGTCTCCACATGTTTCTGATGATATAGGCAAGGATCAAAATGTCGCGTCGACACGTGAATTTCAACACTCCGAAACGAAACAGTAGTTGAATCACAAAATTTCAGTGTTTCGGTCGAAACGGTACTGTTTCGGACCGTTCGGTCGAAACGGCATTGTTTCGGACCGTTTCGACGAAACAGTGATATATTCGGTTCATTATGAATAATTACATTTAATACCCTATTATAATTACATTT